TAGATGAAATTAAGAATCAAGTTGATAGATAAACAAAATTTCCTACTATGTAAATATTTAATACTGTTTAATATATATCTAACGTGGTTTAATGTATAAAAATCTTATTATTATTATTGTTATACTGATCGATTTATTCGAAAAATTTCTTATTATTTCTTTATTTCATCTCAAGTTTCTTTATATAAAATTGCATNCTTTATATTTTTTTAAAAGAAATAAGATTCAAAAATCATTTATACGAACATATAAACTAGTTCAATTTCAAGTAGGAAACTTCTAAGCATAAAGAATCTCTCTTGAGACTTCAGACTGTTGGTGTAAGGATCCTGGACTCTTTTGCACCTCTTCCAGAATGCTCCTGGATTATTCATTAATCTGTTGGCAGACGGCCAATACTCTCGTTTCAGTTCACTTCAATCAGCTTAACCCCAAGCCTAGCAAATTTTGTTGATGATTTTGCCCCCAGAGAGTTTAAAATTTTAAATTTGTTGATATACTACATCTGTTTTATAAAAGCCGAAATTGAAAGCTCCTAGTAACCTTACTAGGACTTCAAATACTCAAAATCTTTAACTCTATAAGTCTTTTTTTTTTAAATATAAACTGATAGTTTCAATAAATTCCTTTTATGCCACTCCATTTATTTTTTTCCCTCCCTGTTTGTAGTGTTTTAAAAGTGCCTAGAGGACTTAGTTAAACTAAATATTTTTATAAAATTCTTAACAAGACATGACAGCTTAAAATGCAAAAATTACATTAAAAGCTTGTTTAGATTAGATTTTTCTTACTCAAAAGATAATAGAACTTGATCAGAAAAGAATATTAAATAATTAGGAAAGGATATCCTTTAGTCAATAATATAGTCTTCAAATGTCATAAAAGTATAATGAATATTCTTTTGAAGTGTTAAGTCTTTAGAATAATGTTTCCTTTTTATAACTATTTGCCAACATTCTCAAGAGAAAAAGCAATACAAAAGAGCTTTAAAAATCTCTCGACATCATTCATTCATTTTTATTAGATTTTATTAAGTGATATATTTATAAATTTTCAACATATATTTTTATAATATCTTAACATTATAAAGAATGATATATTTAGGGGGAAAAAAAAGTTATAAATGTTTAAATAGAAAACCTTAAAAAAATAAAATTATTATCTTAAATTTAAGAGGAGAATATTCAAGATTAAAGAGTACATACATTTATAAAATTACTACTTAGATATGTAAATTAATATATTTATCAACTTAAATAATATTTTATATAAAGAAATATAAGAGTTGTAGATAATTTTACACTATATTCTGACTAAATAATAAGTAAAAGTAGTAAAAAATAATAATAATAATAATAATAATGTAGACATTAAAAAGAGAATTCATATAAAAGCAGTCTGATTTAAATTATTCATAAAATATTATATAAAACCTTGTATTTACATTAAATAAATTCCATAATATAAAGGAATTATTAAATGTGAATTCTTATACTAAAAAGATTTTTAATTTTACAAATAAAGACCTATTATAGACATTAAGCTGAAGGATTTTAATCAAATGATTAAAACTTTTAGAAAATTATTACTGATTATTATTAAATATTATCATTATTAACTGATTAACTTTAAAGATTAACTGGCAAAACATAATAATTTAATTAAAGATTAAAATTTTGTATGAAATTTCTGATCTGATTATGATTAATTTATAGAAAAAGAATGTAAAATATTACAAGAGATTAAAATTTAATAACTGTTTAAATTTACAATTTAATAATTTTTAAAATAATCTACAAATTATATTTAAAAAAAAAGAACAATTTAAAGTAATTTCATGTAAAATTTTCACTTAATTATAATTATTATTTATTATATGAAAAAAAAAAGATAGGAGAAAAGTGTTATTGTGGATATTCAAACGGTATTTTCTTTCAACTTATCCAACCTAAATCCCTTTAATACTTTCTCTAGATAGAAAAGATTAGCAAGGATTCTTACAGTCTATAAGATTGGTTGTCTTACTAGAGAGATAACCAATCACATCGAAAATCCATACTGTCTTCACCATAGATGACTCGTTTATCTTATGGTTTTACTCTATTTTTTTCATTTTTAAAGTAATATTAATCGATTTTAATAAACCTAGTACTTAAATTTATATTCTAGTTAAACTTTCTTAAATATATTATTTAAAATTTATGTTTAAATACCTTTTTTTAAAATTGAAAACTAAGTGATAAATTCATTTATATATTTTATCTCATAGTAAAATCTAATTCAATCAATCAATTTGAGGGAAAATAATCATGTAATTTTATAGAAAATCGAAGAGAAATTAATGTAATTTGCTATTTTAAACTTATTAGAAATTAATTTTTTATAAAGATTTTGGTGACAAATTTATACAAGATTAAAAATTAGGCTAAGAAACATCCTTTATTTTTAAACGATAAACTATATCTGGATTTTTTGCAGTTTCTTTAGTAAGATTGGAAGATAAATTCGATGTAAATTATTACATTAATATAAAATAATTAATTTAAAAAAATACATTAAATACTTAAATTAATTAGGAGAATGTTATTTTTTTAAAAAAAAAAGGAAAGAAAGGAGAAGGGGGAGGGTGGGAAAGGTTGCTTTAAAAAAGCCACAAATGATAATTTATGCGAATTGTTTAGAAAACAATGGAGATCTTGTTGATTTTTAAGATTTATAGCTAAAGGTAAAATATATAATATTCGTAAACTCGATTATAATGCAAATAGTTTTCCCCTGCAGCCATATTCTATATTGTTGGAAAGTCATTCTTCGACAAACAAACCAGAAGCAAATTCATTGAAAGCAACGAAACCTGTTACTTAGCAAACTATAAACCTTTTCCATTATAATATATTTTCCTAGCAGAGTTAGTTGCATGACGAATTGCATATTTTATCTTTCGTTACGTTACATCCATCAAAAGATAGATTGTACATCAATTTTTACACGACGAAGGGGTAATTTTTAATGACAATTTTGATTGAATATTCTTCTCGGATTGTTATACAGAGATAAATAAAATCCATTAAAAACAAGCCAAGTTAAAAAAAAAAACGGAGAATTTTAATTGATCATCTACGTGTCAATACAGATGCTTTTATTATATCTAGTTTCTCAGGTAAGCAGTTTGTCTTGGCAATTGCCCCGAACTACTGGCTTATATATCACTCACAATACCTAATGTCGATCGTATTCAAATCCCAAGTGTTTTCCTTCCATAACAGAATGGATACGCATATCAGAACTTATATAGAACCTAGAGGCAAAGCAATGTGTACACAAGAGCGATTGGATGAAAAGAAATGTCTGAATGTTTTTTATCGTTTGTATATAGACTATGCTGACGACAAATGTACTTTCATTCCTACATTCTCGGAAATAAATTACATATTTTAGTATTAGGAAAATGTAAATTTTACAAAAAAAAAATTATCACCTTTTCCCTTTTTTTTCTTCCCTTCTTCTTTTTTTTTTAATATAAAATACAGTTTTAATTTTAATTTTCTTCACATCACTTCACATAAATTAACTAAAATGTAGATAAATCTTATATATTATATAAGTTATAGTTAACTAGGTAAGTTAAAAGCTGTTTCTATATCTAATTTTATTTACAGATTATGTCAATTAATGAATTTTATGTTGGATTTACTATAAACTTTCCTGTAATTTTATGACACATAATGAAATTAATTTAGATGTGATTAGATTTATATCATAATAAGTTTTTCCCTATTTACACTCGTTACAATTCATATAATTTTATCGGTTTTACGAAAATATTAAAACTTAAAATGGTTTTATATACTAATTAAGGTATAAATCTCTCTTTTTAAGCGCTACATAACGTAGTAACTTCGGTAATTATATTCTGCTTAACTTATATGTAACGTAGGTATATAATATGATTTATTTTTAATTAACGACCTTTATCCTTTCTATAAAGCTAGTTAATTATATGATATTAATTATTTAATAATATAATTATGTAGAAATTTCAAGCTTTTATATGTAACATATGAATTTTTAATTCTAAATCTGTAATTTTTCCCATTGATCTTATGCCTACTAAGCACCCTTAAACTGTATAGAATTTTGAGATTATGAGCTAGATATTGAAGTAAAATGTATTAAAATATATATAATATTAAACTATAACTAATAAAAGAATGTGAAAAGTGAAAGTTTATAGAAGAAATACAAATTTATATTAAAATTTAAAAATATTTTGTCTGATGTTAAAGAATAGAAAATGTTAAAATTAATCTTGTAAAGCGAATATCCTTGCAGAATTTAAATATATTTTTTAAATTTTTTGATTGAAATAGGAATATTAATGCAAGATATGGAAAAAAAAATTAATTTTATAAAGCGAATATATTAAATTTTAAACATTTCTTTAGCTTAAATGGAAGTAGTAAGAAATAACGAATATGAAAAGTTAACTTTATAAAGAGAAGATATAGAAATATTTAAATATTTCTCTACATTATCTAGAGCAGAACTAACTACTTAAAGCGGAGTAAATTCGAATTTTATGCAAATTAATAATGATTTTTAGCTAACAAATATCCTTCTACGTAAGAAAATAAACAAAAAAACATGAAGAATTTCTTCGATTGTGAGAAACTCAACCTTATATAATCAAGTCCTTTCTTTACTAATCTAACCTTTATGTTCGACATTCATCTACTTTTTTTCTTATTAGGAGATGGTTAAGATAATACATAACAAAAGCTGTAGATTTTCTCTAATCTGAATTTACAGGAATTTTACAGAAACAATTAAAAATTTCTGTAGAACTAAAAGATAACATGGACGTCTTCGGAACCATCTGCGAAGATGAGACACAGCGTGACCAACACTCTACCATAATTTATTCCTTCTTGCATCTAATTCTGTCTATTATAGGGAGGCTCCTTTCTTTGGCAGATATAAAAAAGAAGTATCGGACTTACCTTCACCCTTGATGGAGCTTATAAAGGTAGCGACCAACGCCACAAACAGCAAATATGACTTTAACATTTCAGACGATCTCCCTATTTTCAATATTAGTAGCCTTGGTATACTACCTATAAAATGAGAACAAACAAGAAGAAAAAACTTATAATTATAGAGAAGCACAGGTATACTGGCCTGAATCCTCCTTCCTCACTAACACCTCTCTCCCGTAGATAATCATCAGTTCAAATCCCTCAATAAAACACAACACCTTTGGGTCATTTCCTTTTATCCAATTACACCGAGCACTATGGGGGGCGTTGGGATTGGGACGGGACTACCACCTCCGCAGGCCCCCGGGGGACATCCCTTTGTAGCGGTGCATGACGGGTAGCAGTGCTAAGCGCCCACCCTCACAAACACGCACACAAGATACAGGCCCACTAACTGTATCAACCTCCCGCCAGGCGTAGATTGCGTGGGGTTCTCTACACATGCGCATTCTCCACCAACTGGTGTGGTGGCACGATCTTCGTTGAAAGCGTCCAATCATCGTGGGGCGAGCGACAGTCGTCATGGTAATGGGCCCCTCTCTCGTGACGCCACGTTTACTCGGGCGCTAAGCTGCGTGAGATACAATGATATCCCAAAGGCTACGCGGCTATACTCCACTCTTTTTTTCCTCTCTCTCTCTCTATCCTTCTAACCTTAAGAATTAAAAAAAATAATAAAAAAATTGGGCTTGTTTCTCCAGATAAATATTCCCATTTCGTATAATTTATCTCTAGAAACTTTAATCATTTCGTCATGATAAAGAGGTCAATTCATTTTTGATATTTTTAGCATAAAAATTACGTTCATTTTCTTTCAAAAAAAATATCCCCTTTTCTTCTTATACGAAATCTTATTTATTTGTAAAAGTAATGTACAGTACACTGTTCAAATATAAAATTTAAAGCCTTTCTCAACTCAGTGATCGATAGGTCGCATTTTTAATAACTACTATAGCTAAATTGATTTATTTTTGATAAAGTAGCCTTTATCTTTTCTATAGAAAACATAAAGGTTAATTTATATTTAATATATATATAAAGTATTGTCCCTCAATTATCTCAGTAAGGGGGGAAAGATTATCTATTTATTCAAGACCCAAAATTCTTACTTGATAAAGTTTTTTATAGTAAAATGAAACACGACAATCATTTTGATCAGCAGATAATTGGATTTTTGAGCATTGTTTATTATCCTCTTTTATTATTATTATTATTATTTCAGTTAGCATATTATATCAATAGACACGAACGTCATTCCTGTATGTAGAAACCTCCCCCCTGATTAAAAAAAAAGCTTAAAAAAAGATCTTTGCAGCTACGTTCGAATCCCATAAAGCTATAACTTTCTTATCCTAGAACACGAGATATTACAAGATGCCTAGTGTTTATGCCATCCTATGTCAAAGTGTTTTCTACTTTTAAACATCAGAAATCTAATTTTAGATCTATTTATCTTTAGTACTTAGTAGATTTCTCTTTAATAAATTAGATTTTACTACTCTAAAAGTTAAATCTATGAGGGAGATGCTATTAAAGGAAGGAAAAAGATTAAAGCCAGTATTAAAGAAAATTTAATGATTTACAATTATATTAAGATTAAATTTTTTTTTATTTTCTTAATAATAATTAAATCTTTAAATATATATATA